GGAAGATCTTGGTTTGGGGATGCCAGTTAGTGGTAGAACACATGCCTTTCACATGTAAGGCCCTGGGTTCAACCCCCAGTATGTCCTCCATTTCCCCATCTCCCCCTGCACCCCCTGCCAGCCACACATAGACAGAAGGCCTCACTGTTCTTCTGGTTCTAAGTTAAGGATCGCTTTCTGTCTCTGTACCTTTTTCCATTCTCAAACCACATTCTCCAACCACTGTTTTCCACAATGAGGAAAAACAGAAACAAAACAACAAAACAAAGTCTTACAAAGACCTTTGAAGACAAAGCCTAGAATCTTAGGACTCAGACTAAAACTACTCTGTTTAATGCACATGAATTATTGACTATTATTTTCTTTTTAGCATGTGCTGATTTTGTTCATAAGTTTTAAAGCGAAATTGGATTGGGGCCAGAAAGACAGTAACAGTGGGTAAGGTACTTGACTACCTATATTCAATCCCCGGCAACTCTTTCAATGGTCTCCTGAGCAGAGCCAGGGGTGATTCCTGAGCACAGAGCCAGGAGGACGACATGAGCACAGCCTCAAAAACAAAACAAAAAGAAATGGCACTGATTGAATATACTCTAAATATAAAAAATGGGGAATGAGAAGTATAAGTAGTATTGACTATGATGACTTGTGGCTATTTTTAATTAAGGTGGTATTGACATACCACGTATTACATTGATATATTACATTATTTACAGGTGTACAACATAGTGGTTTGATATTTACATTTATATTATAAAGTGTTACCACAATAAGTATATTTAATATTGGTCATTACACATAAGGGCTTCTTAAAGATTTTTTCCTTGAACATTTTTAAACATTACATTGGAATATATTCGACTAACAAAGTTATGCAAATTAATGGCATAAACTATGTTGACTGCATACATTTACACACTGTGATACTGTAATATGACTGTCATAGCACTAAGTAGCAGCTATCAATTCATATGATCATGAATTATTTTTTGTGCCAGGAATAAAATCTAGTCTCAGGGCTGGAGCGATAGCACAGCAGGTAGGGCATTTGCCTTGCACACAGCCAACCCAGGTTCAATACCCAGCATCCTATATGGTCCCCTGAGCACCGCCAGGGGTAATTCCTGAGTGGAAAGCCAGGAGTGACCCCATCGCCAGCTATGACTCAAAAAGAAAATAAATAAATAAATCTAGTCTCAGTAAACTTGATGTTTTTAGAACAAAAATGTCTAGAATGATTTCTGTGGGGAGTTGGGGGGTGGGAATGGGGGAGTCTCCCAAGCAGTGCTCAGAAGGCTCAAAAGCCCTTCCCTGAGATTCTTGTTCAACCGGCTCAATGCGAGGGCCTGAGGATGAGCAGCGTCAGTGGGCCCTGTGTTGCCAGCAACAACCAGTGTTCAAGGGTGTGCAGACTACATCACTGCTGCTCAGGGAACCATGTGGGCACTGAACCCAGGTCAGCGGGATGCAAGGCAAGCACCTATACCCCTGTACTTATCTCTGGGACTACTGTTTTTCTTTTCTTAATGCTTCATTTATGTATAGCCCTTCTAAAGCTCTTAAGCTTCTAATGCTGAAGCTTTAAGTTGCACTAGAAGACGTGCAATAAGGGTAGCTCTATTATGGGGGAACAAGTGTTCCCTAACTCAAGGATAATTACAAAGCGCTGTCCTAAAAATGCTAGCTAGAGTCTGAATGTAAAAATGAATGCCTTTGCCCAAGAGTAATATAGTCCATAGCCTCTGGAGGTCAGCAGAGAGCCAGTTCACCAGGGGCAGATTGGAGCATCAAAAACAGCCTTTCCACAGGGGCAACTGAAGAAGCTACAGAAAACTGAGATAAAGTGGGGCTATGAACCACAATCAAAGCAAAAGCAAAGTTTTAACTGTATGTGTGTTCTCTCAGTGATGGCTGATTTATATCTTTCATCAAAATTATCACATGTTTTTCAACACACGTGGATGAGACCCTGGATTTGGAATTTGGCTCCCTGCAACACATTCTCATTCATTCATTCATTCATTCATTCTCTCTCATTCTCTCTCTCTCTCTCTCTCTCTCTCTCTCTCTCTCTCTCTCTCATGCACACACGTGCACAATCTCTTACATATCACAACCTCTGGTAAGAAAGCATTATGGGGGTTGGAGTGAAAGTATAGCTGGTAGGATGTTTGCCTTGCATGCAGCTGATCCAGGTTTGATCCATGGAACCACATATGGTTCTCCAAGCCTACCAGGAGTAATTTCTGAACACAGAGCTAGGAGTAACCCCTGAGCAGCTATACCTGGGTATAGCCCCAAAACAAACAAAAACAAAAAAATCTACAAATGTTTCTAAAGTTATTGATAAGATAATCTGTTCTCCTTATTTATGAACTTATTCGCAAACTCCTAATTTAGCCTATCTCCTAAAACTAAGTCATCTTTATTTTACCAGCATAAATTCTATTTGATTTTCGAAGCATATTCACAAAAGGCACATCAGCACCTTCTCCTTCCACTAGGAGGTCAGGAGGAGATGTTGAAGTCCATGAAAAGGCAGTTTACAAAAGAAGACAGCTTCAAGATTGAGGGAGAGTACAGGGATTAAAGGAGTCGCCTTGTAAGCTGCTGACTCCAGTCTGAATCCCATAACCACCAGAAGTGATCTCGGAGTATCTCTAGGTATGCCCAAAACAAAACAGAAAAAGAAGGTTACCAAAATGTCCTCAACTGATAAACCAACTCAAAAGTCTGTGGCATGTTTCAGATTTTCACTGAAAAATCAAATAACCACAAATAGAACCGCTTCATTGTAAAAGTGATCTTTAAGTAGTCTTCAAAATGCTAGCAAATATCTATTCAGGAAAACTGTCCTTAAATTCAGCAATTGTGTTTAAGATCTTTTACCATAGTGAAAATAAGCAGACTATAATAAAAAACAATATCACAGTCTACTTGTCCACTTGTACATGACAGATATCAAACTCACTTGACATTATCTTAGAAACTAAACTAAAGCCCTCCTGTTTTTTCTTTTTATTAACCAAAAATAAACTGCAAGTTCAGGGGTCTTCCAATTAGTTTTTCTTCCATATTTGGACCATACCAGGTAATGCTCAGGGCATAGTCTGGTTCTGCACTCAAGGATCATTCCTGGCAGTGATGTGGGACTATTTGAGGCAATAAGGATTGAACTAGGGTTGGGCTCATGCAAAGCATGAGCTTTTGGCCCTCAGGGACACCTTACTAATTTTCTAATTTAAAAATTTTCAAATTCACAGAAAAGATTAAAAAAAAATAATAGATGAGGCCCTGTATACCCTCACCTAGATTTAAATTTACCACCATTACTCTATTTTGCTATACGTATACACATACACACCTACTTTTTATGGTCAAAGTGGATCAAGTAAATAAGTTTTTGCTTTAATTTTTTTCCTTTTTCAAGTAACCTACCCACGGTGTATGGTTTAATAAATGACAGACTTTAGTACTAAAGCCAGAAATTCTAATTTAGAGGCTGGTTCCACAGTTTAGAAACAGCAGTAATAAAAATAATAATTGCATATAGAATTATGTTCGTGTTTGTACACTGGTCCATAAGAAACAAAGACTACTGTGTGTATACATATATATGTATATATGTGTGTGTATGTATATATATATATGTATATCACAAATTTTAGCCATGGGTTGAGTTTTTTATAAGAAATTCAATTTAAGTTACTTTGACCTTCAAAATTTAGGGATTAAGGCACGTGTCTTCTAGGTTGCTATCTCAGTCCTGTCCCTGGTGCCATATGGTCGCCCTGAGCATAGCTGTGTGTGGCTCTGGAGTCTCAAGCCCCTACATGGCACCTCCAGGGTCACGTGGGTAATCTCAGGCAACAAAGGGCCCCAGCAGCACTGCTTCCTCAGGTATCTGCATTAAACTGTTAACCCAGGTGGTGTAAAACTGCACTCCCATTACTCCTGCACCCTCTGAGTATGGCTTGTGAGGCCCTCAATAAAGAATATCTCAACAACCTTTCCCTTGTTTGGAAATTAACAAGCTGACCCTAAAAGTTATGCAGAAATGCAAAGCAACTAGAATAACCAAACTACTTTTTAAAAAAAGTTCAAAAAGTTGAAAGATTTACATAACTTAACTTCAAGACTTATATAACATCAGAAGCATGATCCACTAAAAAAACTCAACAAATAGATACCTTCTAGGTGAACAAGCTCCTAACTAGGAGTAAAAATATCCCTCTTTTAACAAAAATATTATATGTCCCTCCTTCAGCGATAGCACAGCGGGTAGGGCGTTCGCCTTACAAGCGGCCAACATGGCCGACCCGAGTTCGATTCCTCCGCCCCTCTCGGAGAGCCCGGCAAGCTACCGAGAGTATTCGATATGCCAGACACAGTAACAACAAAAGTCTCCAATGGAGACGTTACTGGGCCCGCTCGAGCAAATCGACGATCAACGGGAGGGCCTTTACCTTTACCTTTACCTTAAAAAAAAAACTGATAAAGTGGATCCTATAAAAATTAAAAACACATGATCTTCAAAATATGCTCTACAGGGAGGGAGGCTAGGTGTTGTGATCAGTGGTGCATAGGAAACGAACCTCGGCCCCTCACATTCAAGGCATGCGCTCAGTCCATTAAGTAAGTAAGTGCTCTGCACTCTCAAAAGACACTCCTGAACAAATTCAAAATTCACAAAGCTATAGCAATCAAAACAGTAAGGCACAAAGACAGACAAATAGACCAACATTAGAAAACAAAGAGCTCTGTAATAAACCCTTGCACATGTGATCAAATGACTTATGACAAGTGTCAAAATAATTTAATGAATGGTTAGTTTATCGATAAATGGTGTTCTACACTTAAAATAAGACATTTCTAAAAGAATAAAAAAAAAGAAAGGGTGTTGTGTTTGTGTTTGTGTGTGTGTGTGTGCATGGTGTGGGATATATATGTGTGCACACACACACAAGTGAGAATGGGAATGGTTTTATTGAGGTACTTACAGTGCTGATCACAATCAACTCTGGCAAAGACTACTTGATTTTCATTTGGATATTCTTCCCTAATGACGTTGGAAGCTTCCTCAAAAATTGGATGCAACATCTGGCTAAAACGACACCTATATACAGAGAAAGATACCAATTAAAGACGAAAGGGGCAGTAAAATAATAGTTATTATCCACTGATATTCAGTATATGTACAATGAGCAGTTTCTGAGATATATATATTTTAGTCATGGGTCCTGATGTCACTGGTGATGAAGATGATCAATAAATTCAAATACTTCAAAGATTGTACAAATAACAAAAGATTTTTTTCACCTTAAGAAAATTGCCAATTCTGGAGCACACAACTAAGGAACTTACTTGCACAGAGACCAAGAAAAAGTCTGAAACAAGTCCTCAAAGATACATAGTTATTTGGATTTATAGCATTCAAGATTTGGGCATTTATAAAAGACAGAAGCTCTCCTTATATGATGTACATATTTGTAAACTACTGTATTATATTGGCAGATTCAAAATCTCATAAGTTAGCAAACTAAATAAAAAAGCTATATTTAAATACATAAAGATAATAAACTGTTTACCTCCTGCCTAAAACGTACAGCTACAAACATAACTTTAGTAAGTCCAAGAAAAAAAGTTTTCTAAACACGACTTCGTGACCATGGTTTTCTTGTGTTTTTTAATTTGATTTGTTTTTACTTTTAAAATGGGACATGGGGGACATGGGGGAGAGGGGGGACAGAGAGAGAGAGAGAGAGAGAGAGAGAGAGAGAGAGAGAGAGCACGCGAGAGAGCGCAGAAAAGACTGGAACACATGCTTCGTATATAGAAGACCCAAGTTCAGTCCTCAGCACCTCATGGTCATTCAAGCAAGCCAAGAGCAACCGCTGCACACCAAGCCAATGGGAATCATTGTCCCTGTGCACTACCATATTTGGATGGCCCCCAAAAAGACCCCAAAAGAGGGTATAAACCCTACAACAGTTGCAAAAATTGACACTTCTAATTCTGACTGTCCCTTAATCAGGTGAATCAGTTCACACACAGATGCGTGGGTCGTTAAAAGGACATGTTAATAAGTACACCACTGGTTGGTTGTCACGGTCATTTTTATATGGAAAAAGAAAAAGCAGATTTATTTGTTAACACAAACAAACAAACAAAAAAATATGACTGCTTCTACTACTTCCAGAGTCTTTAAACATCAAGAAATTTATAAAATGAATAGTTAACTCTATCCACATGTGTTTAGGTATCCCATGTTAATTATAATTCAATAAAAATACTGTAAGATTTGTGGAAGGATGCAAATTTTATACTTCCTATTTTGTTTTGTAGATACCTTTTCTAGCCCACTCACCTAAAATGTCCTAGAATATATCAAGGAGACACAATCTGTATCTTCTCTCTCTTGCTTTCAAGTAGTTCTTTCCTTTTAGCATTCTTAAATATCTCCCATCTGGAATAGGTAGGTGGGGGTCTGTGGATATCAGGGACCTTGTCTTATTTGACTACATATTTAATATACATTTCAACAGATGTCTGTTACATGAATAAACTTGACCCAATGAAAAACTGGAACAACGAAGACCACAGATTTGTGAATTCTTGCAATTTGCTGAAAACAGGATACTGTGGGATAGAGGAGGGAAGGGGTAGGAACTAATTCAAGGTTTCTTTCAAAACGCGGCTAAGGCCAAGTAAACAGGTTCCTGGCTACAGGACAAGTAAAGACGTGTATTAATGGCTCCTTCCTTGTGGAAGGTTCATTTTGCTGCCCAGTAAACACACCAGCTTAGACTCATGTTTAATACTCTGATCAGCTTTAATACCAAAAAGGTGAAAGGAAAAGATGAAATAAATAACTTTATAGGCTCGTATTCAAATAAATGGAAAGTTACATTTATGAATGTTATATAACAAAAGCAACGGATTTATTAAAAGGGATCTAGGAGTCATCTGAATCCAATCTTTGATCCACTGCTTATCAACCTTTTATGAATCAACCATGTGAGTAAGAGTTTTGCAGGGAGAACCTAGGGTATTTACTAACACAACCCAATGGAGAAAAAAAAGAAAGTAAACTTGGGCTTCAAACATACCTGAGTCTAGATACCTGAGCATATATCCCAGTTTCACCAATTACTAAACCATATAACCTTTCTGACCCTCAATTTCCTCAACATAAAATGAAAATTAAAGAGCCTGGTACATACCACCATTGTTAAGCAACTACTATGCTTTATTACCACCTAAAGCCTATTAGATTTTAGGCAATCTATGATGGAAATCATCCACAAATTATGTCAGACTTCTAAGGGAACTCAGTCTAATCACTGAGGCCACAGTAAGTCTATGCCTAAGTCTATTACCTAGAGGTTTCCACTGAATCAAAGAACATTGTTTCAGGAACAACTCAAACAATTCAGTGGAAAAATGCCCCAAATAACTGCAATTAGTCTGCATTTCCAATTCAGTTTTTGCAACAAGGTGGGTGGCATGCTGCATTTCTCTTGCACAAAATCCCTCAATAATGAAAACTAAGTTCTAGTTTTTCCTGGCTACAAGCTAGTTAGGTAAATGTGGAAAACTCCAGCACTGCTTCAGAGACTTAACTGGGTTAGCACTCCAGGCAGTGCTGGATATCAAATCCAGGTCTCCCACATGGCAAAATATGTGCTCCAAGCTTTTGCGCTATCTCCTCGGCACATCATTTTCCTTAATTTTAATGTAAATTAGGATTTCTACAGAATTTTGTGCTATTATTACATCTGGACAATCCCACATCATCTTGGAAAATGCTTCCATTGTTATATATTTTATAAATGGTATCTTCTCTGTAGGGGCTGGAGCGCTAGCACAGTGGGTAGGGCATCTGTCTTGCATGCGGCCAACCTAGGTTCGATTCCTCCGTTCCTCTCGGAGAGCCTGGCAATCTACCAAGAGTATCCCACCTGCACAGCAGAGCCTGGCAAGCTCCCCATGGTGTATTTGATATGCCAAAAACAGTAACAAGTCTCACAATGGAGACGTTACTGGTGCCCGCTCGAGCAAATCGATGAACAAAGGGAGGACAGTGCTACAGTGCATCTTCTCTGTAAAATTTTACCAAAGGTAAAAGTTTTTTTTTTTGGGGGGGGGGGGGGTGGGAAATTCTTCGAAAGCAGTGTTCAGAGAGTCCTGAGAGCCATTCTCGTGATATTCAGCCAACCACACCAGGTGGGTCAATGCTAGGACCCAAAGATGTGGTGCTGAAGAGGCCCTGTGGCGCCCGAGACCACCAGGGCCACGTGGCAGTGGCTGGGGCCTCTTCCAGCAATGCTCAGGAAGACGTAGTGCAAGTGATCAAATGGGCATTCTGGGCATCCAAAGCATCTCCTCAGCCCCTACCAAAGGCTTCTTTTAAAAAATATATACAAAAATATATACCATATATCAGTTATTCAGTAAAAGTATTTAATATGTACTTAACTGCCAAGTGCCATGCAAAGGGCTCAGAGATTAATGTTTTGTTTTTTGGTTGTGATGGCGGTGGTGCAGGAAATCGAACCCATGGCCTCACACAAACAGGGCATCTGTTCTACCACTTGAGACATATTCCCAGGCCTAATGTTGAAGAAAGATAGATACAGTAACTTTTCACAAAGTCAACCATGTACTAGGGAGCCACCGATTACAATTCTAGCACACAGGTGATATGAGCTGAACAGAGGATGAGGGAAGAGGTAAAGGATTCCTAGCCTGACCAGAGAGTAGCAATAGGTGGTTACTGTTTTCAGGAAGATGGAGAAATGGGGAAAATGACAGTGCACCATAAGACCTGGAAGATGATCTGGACTTAAAGAGAGTGAGAGAACAGTGACCCATCTGGCAAGGGAGAAGTCACACTACAGGCCCAGTAATGAAAGAGTCTAGACTCTGGTGGGAAATGAGACATGTACAATTAACTGGCACACGATGAAGGAGTGGAGACTTTCAGGAACATACAATAGGGTGAGGAAAGGAAACTGAATTTTAAAGGAAACAGAACTTAAAGGTTTTTAGATGAGGTGCAAATGAATCAAATTTATACTTTAGGGTAGACCTAAAGCATACAAATTTGGCAGATTTTGTAGCTAATAAACTACAGCCAAGGAAAGTAAGGTGGGAAACTGAGCGGTGGGCTGAAGCAGAACAGAGGCAACGAACAGAAAGTAGGTCTGGGCTGGGACATAGTTCAGTGTAGAAGGCAACATGACTGGTATGTATAAGGAGCCTCGTTTAATCCCCCACACTGCCTGAGTGGAATGACTAGGAAGAGAGACTTTCTAGGAATAAAGATTGCATGGGGTTTTTGTTTGTTTGCTTGGCTTTTGTTTTTCGGAACACAAACAGGGGTGCTCGAGGCTCTCCCCTCAGGAATTACTTCTGGCATTGCCTGCAGAACCATATGGGATGCCATGATGCTGGGACTGAACCCAGGTCAGCCGTGTGCACGATAAGTGCCCTACCCGCTATGCTACCTCTCCGGCCCCAAGAATGTGTGTTTTAAACTTTTCTCCAGTTAAAGCTTCTTCTTCCCACCACCACATTCTTTAATATCACCTGCATACTATGTACTATGTCCTTGTTTTAGATGATGAAAATAATGAGGAAGACATTATTCCTGCACTCAATGTTTGTTTGCCAGTGAACAAAGATGAAAGAAAAAATGACACAGTAAGAAAAAGAAATAGGTATATGGCATAACACTTCAGAGTTAATACATAAAGATAAAATCTGATTTCAACAGCTTTTGTAGAAGAAGCAGTAGATAATATTTGTTAAAGTCAGCATTATTTTTCCTCCTAAATTTGACACAATGACATTCTCCCCAACAAATACTGCCCTTCCTCTTCGATCAAGAAAAATACAGAGCTGTGATATGTTCTCATCTATGCAAGCACATGTGTGCAAAATGTGTGCATGCATGAACAAGAGATTTGAGCATTTATGTTACCTGCTTTTACAATGTGAGATAACAGTAAGAATAGATATCGTCCTCTCTTAAAACAAAATGCCAAATTGTTTCACTTGTAAATAAACCTTTATTGATTCTGTACATGTAATATTATCTCACAAAAGACCTCCCCACCCATCCATTTCTAAGAACTAAAAATTAACATTTTTCAGGTTAAATAATTCATATTCCACAAAAATAAATATTACTTACCAGTCAGCATAAAAATTTACTAAAGCAACATCGGCACTGTCTGAAATTGAAAAACAAAACAAAACAACCTGTTATTTGTATAACATAATTATGACATAATTAACAATATAGTAGCAATACAATTTTCTCTGTGGTCTCTTTCCATTAATTGTTAAGATCTACTAAACAATAAACAAAACACTTAAGTTACCTCTCACTCAAAAACCCAGACACAAAGTCATGGATGGCTGAATGGCTTGTAGGAGACCTATTCCTTTCCTTTATGCCTTCAATCATTCTACATTCAGTCAATATATACATCATGCATTATATATTGACTATGCTATATATTATATCAACCAATACATAATCAAGATAATCTTAAATCACTATAAGACATAATCTGAGCTAGCTAGCCTAATCCTAAAATACGGAGTACATAAAAAAAACAAATGTTAACACTACCGTAACCATGTTAAATAAAATTTTTTTAACTTTAATGAAGTGGAATAATATGGAACTTAAAAGTCTATCTTTGGATCTTCCATATTCATACATAAGTAAAAATTAGCTCTACAAGTAAAATTCTATTTCACAAACAATACCAATGTAACTAAACCCTACTAAATCTTAAATGCACTACCTAGCTGCAACAAATAATACACAACTATGTTGTATAAAATGTACTTTTTCTGGTTTCTAGTCACTTAACATTTATCCCGGTTGCAAAAAATAACTTAGTATGACTTGGTTATAAAGTTATGAAGACATGAGAAAGATAACAAACTGCTTTTCCCTTCTAAACCTAATGCATAGAAACTAAAATAAATTCCTAAAGTACACAGAAAAATAAGGACAAAAGATCACTTGACTTGATCACTTGACATCCTGTTACTCATTGATTTCCTCGGGCAGACACCAGTAATGTCTCCATTCATCCCTGTCACATGCTAGTGTAGCCCAATGGCATCTGCTGGTTCTAGGAACACGAACAGCCTCAAACCGATCACTCAGGGTCTTGACAAAGAAGTTTGACCATCACGTAGGTGGGAGGCCACAAGGTCTTTTAACGTCCTGTGAAATCCAGTCGGTAACGGCTCTAGTCCAGTGGTCATCTCCAAATCTCATTACGTGTCCAGTCCATCTGATTTTCAACGCCTTGGCAAACGAGATAGCATCCCTGATTCTTGATCATTGATAGAGGTCAGAACTGTGGATTCTTTCTCTCATTTGAGTGAAATGTGATACTCCAAGCATAGCTCTTTTGATTCGTCTTTGGGAGACCGGAATAGCGTTTTCATCCTGTTTTTGTAAGGCCCAGGTCTCTCAGGCGTATCCTAATGCAGGAAGAAGAGTGGAATCAAAGAGATATGCCCGGAACCAGGGGTTCTTCATCCTCTTAGCTATTTTTTGACGCTCTTGAAGGCATTCCAAGCCGCTCTCTTCCTCCTGCACAACTCAGGTGCCAGGTCATTAGTCATGTTGATTTCTCGACCTAGGTACACATAACTGTTGCATTCGGAGATGGTCGTTCTGTTGAGAGCGAATGGAACGTGAGGAACGAGACTGTTTCTCATAAACATTGTCTTTGTGAGATTCAGCTGGAATCTGACCTTTCCACGGTAGAAGTTGGCCAGCAATTGTGCTGCTTGGCTAATGTTTGGTGTTATTACTATGATGTCATCAGCAAAGCGGAGGTGGTGCAGTTGCCAACAGTCTATCTTCACTCCCATTCTTTCCCATTCCAGTCATCGCATGACGTTCTCCAGGGTGGCACTAAAGAGCTTCAGTGAAATGGTATTACCCTGCCGAACTCCTGAGAAACCTCAATGAGGTGGGTTATTGTGTGGATATGGTTGATCGTGCTGAATCCTTTGCGGAACCCGGCTTGCTTGCAAGGTTGTTCTGCCAATCCTATTCAGGATGATTCGAGTGAACAGCTTGTAGACGACAGACAACAGGCAGATAGGGCAACAGTTGCCAATGTTGTGGATTGTCCCCCTTCTTGTACAGTAGTACAGTTCTGCTGGTTTTCCATTGGGACGGAACCTTGCATTCAGACAGGCAGTGTGTGAAGAGCTGAGCCAGTGTATTGATGAGCACTGATGGCAGGTTCTTCAGGTGTTCAGGTCTGACCTTGTCTGGGCCAGGTAATGTTCATTTCTTTATCGACGAAATGGCGTGTCGGACTTCGGAAGGGAGAACGTTGGGAACAACATATCCATCCTGCGGAATTTGGTATGTGGGCAGGTGGACGTGGCTATGAAAGAGATCTGAGTAGAAGTCATGGATAATCTTCTCCATTGCCCTTCTGGAAGATGTGATAGATCCATCAGGACGTCGGAGGGCAGTCATCTTGGTCTTGTAGTTAGCGAAGGAAAAGCGGGCATTGCGAATGCTTCTCCCGACTTCTGCCGCATCTACCAGCACTGCTGCTCTTTTCTCTTTGAGATCTTCCTTGACCACTTCTCTGCACTGTTTTGCGAGCCTGGACGTTCACTTGCAGTTGCCTGAGGCATGCGCCAAGCCATGTTGGCGAATAAGCTCAAGAGTTTTCAAAGACAGGCATTTTTTTGTGGCTATCTCCCTGGACAAAAGATACTCCAGAATTTTAAGATGAGAGGAGTGAATATGTGGCTTTCAGTTATTTCTTTTCTTTCTTTTTTTACTGTCAAAGTACTTTTTACCTACAGACGTCTTATTCTACCTTCTCTATAGAAGCGGTTCACAACTAAAATCTCTGGCCCAGAAGCACTAATAACATACAGAAATTTGTATAAAAGCCCATTTTAGGTGTGCCTAGCAGTATTAATCAGAAATCAGTCCTACCAATAAAGATATTAATAATCTTCCAGGTGACTATACACATGCTAAAGCTTATAAAATGGCTGCTCTAAAAATATCCCATAACACAGAGATGATTTTTAGCGTTTAAAACCAGCTCTAAGAATACAAAATAATACAGGATGCTCAAAAAATTATCTTTGCTTTTGTTATACCTATTTTTAAATCAAAGGGTAAAATGAGTGCTTTAAAAAAATCATTTAAGCAAATTATGTGTTTTCTTAATTTCCTAAATTGTGATTTTCCTATTTATTATTTTCTATAATTTTTCTCTTTTTCACATTCTCTTTACTATGTAAAAAAAAATTACAAATGTTTTCCCCCAAGTTAATCATATCTATAATCACACTATTACCAAAGCAGTGAGTAAAACATTTGTCAAACTATTAATATATACTCTTTACACTTTATACTGAGGTACTTACTTAAAATATCATCTATATTATCTGCATCAAGACTTGTTATATCAGCTGTTACAGGGGTAAAAATCCAAGTTACCTGAAAATTTAAAAAACATGGAATTAATAGAATGTTTTCATATTAACAGAAAAACTAAAAAGAAAGTTTTTGAGTAGTTAATTTTGTTATTAAAAAAAAAGATTGATGTATTCTTTTGGTTTCCTTCATCTGTAGCACTGTAGCACTGTCCTCCCATTGTTCATCGATTTGATAGAGCAGGTCCAATAACATCTCCATTGTGAGACTTGTTGTTACTGTGTTTGGCATATCCAATACCTCACGGGTAGCTTGCCAGGCTTTGCCGTGCGGGTGAGACACTCTTGGTAGCTTGCTGGGCTCTCCGAGAGGGTGGAGGAATTGAACCCAAGTTGGCCCATCTCAACCGCATGCAAGGCAAATGCCTTACCCGCTGTGCTATCGCACCTGGCAAAGTGGCAACGTGTCAGATCTTAGCTGAAGCTAAGCAGGGTTGGGCCTGGTTAGTACTTGGATGGGAGACAATTACTTCATCAGACAAAAAAAAATAGAAAATAGAAGTACTAACTTTTTCAGTCTAGAAAGGGGGTAAATATATATGCTCAAAAAATATATAGAACAGATTAATTCTAAATATTCATAAAATTGCAAACCTATTCAGTCTTTAAAATTAAATACTTCCAACAACTCTCTACAGCACAATAAAATATTTACTGATTATCCAGTTTAAAGAAATATAAAACTGAAATTTATTGATTCTATCCTGCCATGTTTTTATGAAACAAATTAATGAAAACAAGAATTCAATAAACTTTAAATTTTGAATAAATAGCCCTTCTTGGTTCCTCTTCACGTAATGGTGTTGAACGCATCTAGTGAGGGGTCATTAAAAGGTGAATGTTTGTACTTCTACTTTAAGGTGACAAAAATCCAAAACTTATTAAAGATAATGTTACCTAGCCATCTGTAAAACTAAAGTGATCATTTGAAACTAAATCAGCAAATTTGATATTTTTTTAAAGAAATATTCAGTGTATTTTTTTTTCAGATTTGATTTTCAACATACTATGCAACTTTATACTGGTTTTGAAGATTTTTCCAAAGATGTGAGGACATGTGTGACAGTAATAGTTAGAAATGACCACTATGAAGAAGAACTGAGTGTTGAAAGTAGGTAAAGGGATAGCCATGATAACTTTTCAGTATCTGACTGTAAACAATAAGTCCCAAAAGGAAAGAAAGAGAGGGAGAGGGAGAGAAAGAGTAAGAGAAAGAGAGAGGAAAAGTAGTATGGATCACAGAGGTGGGGGGAACTGGGGACATTGGTGGTGGGAAATGTACAATGGTAAAAGGACGAGTGTTAGAACATTTTGCATGAACAACCTTGTAACTGTGTATCTCACTGTTATTCAATAAAATTTTTAAATAATAATAAAATTAAAATTAAGTTTTCATATGCAAAGTAATTAACCACCCCATTGGTTCTTCACCGAGTGGTATCTAATGAAGACTCCTCACCACCCACTCAGGGTCACAAGTACTCAAAAAGGTACAATTCAAAACCTGTGTAATTCACCATTAATTATTTTTCTCTTTCTTCCCTTTTTGATATTGGGCCACACACAGTAGTGCTCAGGGTTTATTCTTGGCTCTGTGCCCAGAGATCCTGGTAGGGCTCAGAGGACGATGGATCAAAGCTAGATCTGCCTCATGCGAGGTGAGCGACCTACCTGTCATACTATGGCTCCAGTCTCCTAGAGATTCTACTTCTAAGAAATATAAACTGACATCTATGGGCCAGAGAAATAGCTCAAAGGAAAAAGAAGGAAGCTAGGAGTCAATCCCCAGTACCGCTAGAAACAACCCCTGAGCAACAAGCTTCAAGAGCCCTGAGCACCAAGGGATCAGGCCCTCAAATAAGCAAAAAAGAAATTATCCAAAAAAGGGGGCTAGGGCAGAGCCTGGCATATGAGTTTGGTCTCCCAGGCACTGCCAACTGTGGCCCTGGTGGCCTCTCAGTTCTGCTGGGGATCTCTAGGAATGGCCGCTAGCTACCCTAAACACTGCTTGGGAACCTGCCTATACACACTTCCCACAAGGACTGCGGAGACAGCTCAAAGGGCTAGTGAACATGGTTTTTTGCATGCAGGAGGCCTGAGATTGATCCTGGCACTATATGGTCCCAAGATCATCAAAGACACAACCCACCCACCACTAGGTGTGTCCCCTCTGCCAGAAAGAAAGGGAGACATACTGATGCTAGTAAATTAATAAGCTCAACTATCTGAAATAATTCTGTGAATTTATTTTTTTCATAGAAAAAACTAAGCCTACCACATCATTTCTTCAAATTACATTAACAGTGTTGCCAAGAGCTGATTACCACCTCTGCTAGCAACCGATAATCTCCTCAACATAAACTTGATAATTTAAATCTCTGAATATCTGTTATATCTAACTAATTTCATTATTTTCAACACCTCAAAAATTAACTGGAAAAAAAACAGGTTTCCCCTATCTGCAATTACTTACTATCTACATACCAATAATTGATATCAATAACTGACATTAATAACTATATAATCCAAATATGCTGGATTATAATCTACTATGAATTGGTGCAAAAATTTTAGGTTAAGCATATGTTAAAGAAAACCTCAAGAAGAAAACACAAAAACATTACATAAAGCAAAGAAGTCAATCATTAACAAAGCTGAGTCATTCAATGGCTAGAGAATTATTTACATTGTGTCTACCAGGTATGTAGACACAAATACATAGCCATGGTGTGCTTCACCTACTGGAGCCCTTAAAGTAACTTCTGGCAGTGGTAGGGCAGATACAAATATGATACAGATATTATATTCAGTGGATAAGTCTAGAAAGCTCATTTTGGAGAGTTATCATCTATCAAACTATATACAGAAAAGTATATTCCAGATTTAATTGCTTTTTAGTTGGGAATAACTACCTGAAAAAAATATTCACATGCTAGGCAATAGCAGAAATAAGACAATATAGCTGTATAAATAGGTAACTACTATTTAAGAAACGCTGTGGTGATAAGGATGCAACTGTTAAGACTTCTTCACTAACAGTTGAGTTTGAGAAGGCTCAAAGCAAGAAAACTGACCCAATAGACTTTCCTCTCCCTGCAGGAGGTTAAGGACATTTTATCATTAAAATTTATAATAATATTCAGTTTGTGAGAGAGAGGAAGAGAGAGAGGGAGGGGGAGGGAAAGAAAATGAGAGAGAAAGAGAGAGAGAGAAAGAGACTGTTTATCTGAATTGTTAGCAAGCTCCACTAGTCTGACAAATTGTTGTTGTTTTTTTTTTTTTATTCAGCCTTGAGCACAAACAAGATTCTCCTGGGGAAATGTCTTTATGTCATACTCTATACTGCTTAAGTAAATGAAAACAAGTAGTTCTACGCTAGGAAGTAGGACAGGGCAATCATTAGTTTATTATTTTTCATTCAAAGTTGGTCTTAAAAATAAAACAGTAACATGCAGAAAAATTTAAGAGACAATCTTAGTAACAGAGCATAGACCTTCTAATGATGCAGTGTTTAGATAACATATGAAAGACATATACTAAAGACATAAAATTTATTTTACAAATTGATTATTCTCTTTAGTTGTCAAGGAAACTGAGAGGCATCTTCAATTACCTTCTATAAATCATCAGATCAGTCCTTGCACATACATTTAGTTAACAAATATTAAACATGTGAGTCTGAAATATGTCTAGTGGTATGGCTTATAAAAGACATACCAGTGAAATTGTAATTATTATACACAAATTCATCTTTAAAGAGCAAAGTCAGTAGTGCCAGGAAACAAGGGCTGGGACAAATGCTTTGCATACAAGGAGGCCCAGGTTCAATCCCGAGCACAGCATGGTTCCTTAAGAATCACTAGCAGTGAACTCAATTATCAATAACTTTGTAAATCACAGTTCTTTAATTAAAACAAAAACAAAAAAAAAGGATCACTAACAGTGATTCCTTGAGCACTAAGTCAGGTGTGGTTTCCGAATCAAACAAACATATCAGAGAGCATTAAAAAAATAAAATTCTTAATTTGGAAATAAAAGATGGTTCAATGTTATGCTCTCTCAAATTATTTTAATATTAACACAGATACAAGAATATTAGCACATCGGGCTGGAGCAATAGTACAGTGGGTAGGGCATTTGCCTTGCACAGGGCCAACCCGGGTTCAATTCCCGGTATCCCATATAGTCCCCTGAGCACCTCCAGGAGGAATTCCTCAGTGCAGAGTCAAGAGGAACCCCTGAGCATCACTGGGTTCCTGAGCAAAGCAAAGCATCGCTGGGTTCCTGAGCAAAGCAACTGCAGCACTACACTGTTCTCCCATTGTTCATCGTTGCTTGAACGGCCCAATAACGTCTCCATTGTGAGACTTGTTACTGTGTTTGGCATATCCAATACGTCATGGGTAGTTTGCCAGGTTTGCTGTGCAGGCGAGATACTCTTGGTAGCTTGCAGGGCGTTCCAACAGGGGCGGAGGAATTGAACGTGCAAGGCAAATGCCCTACCCGATGTGCTATTGCAAAGCAAAAAAAAAAAAAATACTAGCACATACAAAATGTTCTGACACTCAGTCTAAGCCCCAGGTGCTATTTCTCATTCTGACATACATTAATTAGACAAACAATACACTAAGCCAATATATCATATATTGCAAATGAATTATCAAAGTTTTTCTGTTCATAATTATTTTTCTTTTGGGCCACACCCAGCAGTGCTCAGGACTTACTCCTGGCTCTGCACTCAGGGATCACTCCTGGCAGGCTTGTGGGATCATAAGGGGTGCCAGAAATTGAACCCAAACTGTTTGCAAGGCAAGCACCTTACCTACTATACTATCTCTCTAGCTCTCTGTTCATATTTAAGTATACATACATACATATGTGTATATGTGTGTGTATATGCGCGCACACACACACACACACATATATATACACACACACATATATCACTGTATCACTGTCATCCCATTATTCATCGATTTACATGAACAGGCACCAGTAACGTCT